ATTGAAGAGTGTGCATGGTGGGGTGTAAAGAGAGTCAGAGAAGCGCTTAGAGTTTTAGAGTTTTGGGAATAAACCCTGTAGAATATGTAGCTCTTCGTCACATGCATGTATCATTTTTATAAAAACAAAAAGAAGAGAAGGGAAGATAAAGCAAGAGAGGGAAGGAGGAGAGGAAAAATGTTAGAGACCTAATAGAGATAAAAATAAGATGCAGACTAATAGATCAAACATGGGATTTTAAAGAAACTAAAAACCAACGTCTAAAATATTGAAAAAACAGCCAGATGAGAGCTACATCCATCCTAAGCTCTAAGCTATATATCCAACTGCCAAATGACAGCATGTTAAAAAACGTATTCATGCTCTTTCCCCCCAAATCCCCTTTCTTCCATCATTTGTAAGTGATGACACTGTCACGCCACTGCTGTGTCCCTCAGTTTCCACCCTGTATAAAGTCTGCCCATTCTCTATCTTCTTAGGCCACGATCATGTTTCCAAACTGGTCTGCCTCCTTCCTGTCCTCTATCACACAGACAAAGTGAGCTTCCTAAAATTTAAAGCCAATCAGGGGGTGGGATTGGCAGTTGAGGGAAACTGCTAGGGGAGAGAAGGGCATACCTCATCAATAAGGGTACCTGCATAATCAATGTTTGTATACCTAACCCTGAATTGTACCCCACATCTTTATAATAACTTAAAAAAATAAAAAGCCAATCACATAATTTTCTTGCTTAAGATGTTTCAATGATCCCTACTGTCTTTAAGACAAGGTTTGTGGCACCTAAAACTTCATAGTCTGGCCTCTAATGGCCTCTTGAGCCTCATCTCCTAACCTTCCCAGGAAGGCCTTTCCCATCCCACCCTGTCTCTAAGTTCTGTCCTGCCACAATGAAGCCCTTCCCAGGTGTTCAAGTTCAAGCTACTCTCACTTCTGGGCCTCTGCATTGCTGTTCCCTTTATTCTAGAAGTTTTCAAACTAAAATTATATGCAAAATTATGCGTGAGTGTATGTCTTTATGTATGTACACAAAAACGCACATGTATAAAAACTTGCAAAAAAATGTTGACAGCATTTGTTAATCCCCTGAATACCAACTTTGGACCCACCTTAGAATCCTGTCCTTAAATTATAAGCAAGCTTATAGCTGATATCAACAAACTCTGAAATAAATTATTCAGCATTTTTGCATACAAGACATACATAAATTACACACATCAACATTAACTATCTTTTATATCACCAGGATGCTATCCATTGCCCTTTGTCCAAAGAAAGTCAGTTAATGTTTTGGGTTTTGTTTTGTTTTGTTTTTTGAGTCAGGATCTCACTCTATCCCCAGGCTGGAATGCAATGGCACAATCACAGCTCACTGCAGCCTCAAACTACTGGGCTCAAGGGATCCTCCCACTTCAGCCTCCCGAGTAGCTGGGACTACAAGCACGCTACAGCCGACCCAGCTAATTTTTTAATTTTTTTGTAGTGATGAGGCCTCATTATGTTGTCTAGGCTGGTCACAACCAGTTAGTTAATTATTACCTTAAAGTTGGTTTCCCTGGGAAGACTTTATTCTAGTGAAAAACATCCTTTCACTGTTCTGAGAACAGCAGGATCCTAGAATGTTAATACTTCTGCTTCATAAGAATGCCTGAGCATACTGTTACAAAAAAAAAAAAACTTTAAAAAATTTGGATGATATTAGATGAACAGCTGTGTAGAAAGGGGAATGTAAAAATAAAAACTGCATGTTGGAGCATCAAAATAGTAACCATGTACAGTATATGACTGTTTTTAATCAGATGAAGATTGAAGCTATTACATTTCAAATCAAATGTTATAAATTAGTTCAAGAATGCAGCTGAGCTCTCATTTAATTAGAAATGTCCATGTTTAAATCATGAGGTACAGTAGCTGCCAATAGCAAAGGGCAAGGGAAGAGAGAAATACTGTTTCCAGGTCCACTGATTCTCCACCGTCTCCACAGGACGAACATCTGGGGTGGACCAGTCCTGACGTAATGAAGAACTTCATGTCCTAGCTAATTTGAGATTTAATGTAATTGACCATAATTGTTTTGAAGACAATTAAAATCATTATTCTGGTCTGGACAATTCTGAACTCTTCATTTTTTGTGTGAAACGTATTTTTTCCCTATGCTGAATGTTTAACTCTTTCTTGGATAAAAAAGTTAAGCAAATCTGGGGCCAAGACTTCCCTGGGAAATAACCCTTCAACTGTCAGATCATATTAAAATGCAGCACAAGCAGTAAAGTACTCCTTTGGAAACAAGTCTCATTTCCTATTTTTGGTGCTTGATGTAACTAGTTTGATGCTCAACTAAAGTCCAAATCTACATCCCAAATGTTAGACAATTCACCATTAATTAAAAATGAGGCAACATCATGGAGGGTTTCTGAGGTCATATAGAAAAGAATGCAATTATCCTAAGGCCGACTTTTCCCCAAGATTATGAGCCTCAACATCTCGTAATTAACCATGGTACAGCTAGACAGTCGAGGCAAAAGGTCTTTCTTTTCTCCCAATTTACCTAATTCAAAATCACCTCAAGTGACATAGCTCAAATTTTCCAAATTAACTTCATCCCTGGGGCTGAAACCATGTATGTGACAGTTCGGCTAACGAAATCTTAGAGTTGTGCACAGGGAACAAAGAAAAAAAATCAGAGGAAAAGGGGGTAGGAGTTAATATTTAGGTGGTTTTTCAACCTCATCTTTACTCCTGCTCAAGAAAATAGGACACAGACTGGCAAAACACACCATTGTTTCGTCTAAAGAGTCCAAGGGACTCATCAGAAACTACTGTTGTTCCCTTACGATCTAATATGAATTTGTAAGGGACAAAATTATTAATTTTTCTTTTTTGCCACATTCCACAGCATTTAGTGTTCCATCGGTTCATGGGGTGCAAACAGGAGGATGAGTCACAAAGACACTATAGCCCTGGAACCTTACTGGTGATATAATCTTCAAGACTGACTCTTCCCAGGGGGCTGAGGAGTGATCAGATTGTCACAAGCTATTTGGGTTCATAAAGATGGTTTCCAGTAAGGAATAACACACAGCCCCAGACTTTCCCTTATTTCTGGTCATGGTTTTACACTCTTCCACAACAACACCAGAGATAGGGTAAATTGGAGCCAGGGCCATGGCTCCCAGGCAAGGGCGAATTCCCTCTTGAACCTCCAAATTGATAGCCTGGAAAGCCACCAAGTGGGTGGCCAGAATAAAACTACCTATAAGTGTAAAATGATTTTTAAAAAACAGTAAGTTTTCAATTGCATGTAAATAAAAAGCAGTGACTTTGTGAGTCTACTAGTTGTTCTTCTTTTGCAACGTGTTTTTTTATCCAAAGATTGTCTTTTCATCCAAAATAGTGAAATAAAAATTAATGAAAAATAAAAGATCCAGCATGTCCTCTCCCCCCCTCAATAGTCATAAAACTTCATATTTCTTCCAGCATTCTTCTCCCTGGAGTAGAGGAATTAGGCAAGGGTTTATTGGTCTTACACAAGTTTTGTGTTTTTTGTTGTTTTTTTTTTTTACAATTGGCTACTTTAAACTTTTTCAATTTGCTCCAATTAAACTGATCAAACTCCTTGCTACTTTCAGAAAGCTTTATGAGTAATTATAAACACAAACATAAATTTATAAAAGCATATTTTAGCTTTGCTCTTATCTAGTAATTAGATTTTTCATTGAATAATTATATCTAAGTACATATTATAGACCTAAGAGTTTTATGTCATTACTTGAATTTTCACTAGTAGCACAGTATGACCACAGCAACAGAGATAAAAGCAGATTTTAATCTTATGTTAAGATTAGCATTCAAGATCATCTGTACTGGGAGTTATGAGTCGGCTCTTCCCTCTCTTGTTCAAGCAAGCAAACCCTTTTTTTTTGTAGAGTCAGGGGTCTTACCATGTTGCCCAGGCTGTACCATGCTGCCCAGGTTGACATCAACCTCCTGTGCTCAAGCGATCCTCCCACCTTGGCTGGGATTTTAGGTGTGAGCCACCACACCCAGCCTAGACAGACCTTTTGAAAGAAGACAATCCACCCAGTTGAAAAAAAGTTTATTTGAAAATATTTTTAGTCCATCTATGTCCATAACACCAAATCTCCTCTGATCTTGAATGTATTTTTAATCCTTTACTACACAATATTAGGATAGGTTTTTGTTTAAATAATTGTGATTCTTCCATTTCAAGTTGTCCTACTAAACCTTACAACATCCCTATGAGACAAGGAACCATTTCATTTTAACTTAGGGTCCTGCTCACGTTCTTAGGCTCCCAACCCAAAACATACTGCTCAGCATGTTTCATTCCATGCCAACTTCCCAGTGAAGTAGAGGCTGACTTCACAGGCTAAACCTGAAGATGTTTCCCTTTTTAATTTTTTAATTTTTTTCAGAGACAGGGTCTCGCTCTGCTATCCAGGCTGCAGTGTAGGTTCCACCATGGCTCACTGTAGCCTCAACCTCCTGGGCTCAAGCAATCCTCCCACCTCAGCCTCCCAAGTAACTAGAACTACAGGTGCACACCACCACACTCAGCTAATTTTTTTGATATTTGTAGAGACGAGGTCTCACTATGTTTCCCAGATTGGTTGTGAACTCCTGGCCTCAAACGATCTTCATTGCATGGGCTTCTCAAAGCACTGGGACAACAGGTGTGTGCCAGTGTGCCCGGCCCAAAGATGTTTTTCTTAACCACAAAGGATATATGATCATCTTCAGAAAAAGAATGTTGTTAAATCTTGGACCCCAAGGATCACTGTAATAAAGAGGAAATGGGAAACAACTAAGATGTACATGCTCAGAAAAATGATAAAATGTAGTTTTTTTGACTCTTTACTTAATGGAGTGGCATATTCAGAGTTACCCAGGATATCAATGATGAGAGAACATTCAAGTCTACCTGAAGCCCACACTTCATCCAAAAAAGACATACATGTGAAGAAAGAAACTGAAATCTTACCTAACTTGTCCACAGAAGCTGCTACTGTAATGACTGATCTGTTGTAGTCTTGATCAGAAAATGTATTGAGCACTGATACTTCAGGGCGTTTCTGTCCTATAAAGAAAACAACACAAAAGTACAAGAATTGTTTTGTGACGAAATTAATGGTTTGTTTCTTCTAATAAAATTCAATTTTGTTTAGTAGAAAAACTAAAAACTCTGAGATGTGGCCCTTGGAAGTGACTTTGAATGAGCAAGAAATAAGTATGAGTAGGAATGTCCACTTCTTCTTAGAGCACATTGCTGTATAAATAGATGGGTCAGCTGAGACACACGTCTTTGATGTCTGTAAGAGATCCTCTCTTGAACTTGTTACTGAACTCACCAAAGTTCTCCAAACTCAAGTCTAAGATGGTAGTCCCTCTTTTCAAGGCCAAATCGTATCACTCTGATTTTGTTACTTGTCAATCTCATCTCCTAGGTCTTATCGATATTTCCTTTGAAAACCCAGAAATCAAACTGTTGGGGTCAAGATCTGACATCTGGAAAAACCAGAATAGGCTAACGAGTGCCCAGAGCAGAGGTTTCGGAGACATGAGCACCTGTCCATTAGCAACTGTTCTAACTCCAACATCGCCTTTTTGGAGACCACCAACAGCCTTCAGATGTTAACAGCTTCCAGCTTTGGGTGGCTTGTGACTCACTTGAATACGTGTATCCTGGAGGAGAAAGCTGCCGTTCCCTTGTGTGGCAGTCACACACAACCCCAAAGTTATTTTTGACCTTTACAAGCCTGGTCCAACCTCCTTAAAAGTCCCCCTTATGCCTACAAAAGCAAATTCAAAGTGAAGGACAAAGGTTTTCGGGTAGTAATTAAACCTTTGGTTTCGCTATTATACCTTGTCCCCCTGTCCCCTGGCAGCTTAACAATTCATCTTTTCAGAGGAAAGGAAAAATAAGTTACACCCAGAAACTACAGAGCTTACGGCAGCCTTGCACTATTAATTTTAATAGTGTGAGAAGATAAACATATGTCACTCACTCATAGCCAAACAAGCATGTACAGAGCATGCCCTGGTGTAGGTCTAACATTTACAAGTCAGGTTCCTTTACCTAAGACTTTTCTAGGTCATTTAAACGTACTCACATTGCTTAATTAGAAAAGCATATAGCTTATATAGTTTTATTCCACATACTTAAAAATAAATGTCTTTAAAATATTTGTAAAACAGCAAGTTCATTTTCTTAACTAGTGCTACCTTCTCTGCATTTTTAAAACTATAAAAAATGAAGCAAGAACAAGATCATGCAGTCTCCTATCTTATGGAGTTTTTCAATATCCTCTAGCTCCTGGAAAAAAAGAGACTTTTTTTTTTTTAATCCTAAATCTTCTGAAAAGCTTTTATTCTCAGTTTCATATGATTCAATTGAATCAAATGCTGAAAGAATGAAACACTCTCTCCTGCAATTTCTTAAGCATGCATATAGAAAAAAATTACTGCTGGCAAGAGAAGCTGTCAGTATGAATCTCAGCAGAAGTAAATTGTTTGGTATTTGTAATGGAGCATAATAGCTATAATTCCATTTGAGCTGCTGCCACTAATAAGCTGATAAAAACTGTGAGTTGAGAACCAGGCTTCCATAAGTGTGTGTCTTCCACAAATGTCTCTGCACATTCATTTACTCACGGTGACAGCAACCCAGTGCCATTAGATGCACCGTTTCCGGCAATGAAGGGCTCAAGCTGGCTCTTTCCACAAAGAGCAGGCAAAATCACAGCTGCACATGGACTCCAAAGGAGTTTTCTTATCAGCAATGATCAGGAATTTTCACAAACACTTCCTGCTCTTGCAAAGTTGCAAGACAGTAACTTAAATGTGCTCCTGGTTAGGAGTGGACTGGGGGGAAGCACTTATTTCTCATGAAAGCAGTAATCACATCAAAAATGGCAATCAGAAATTAAAATTTTCTGTCTCAAATGCTGTAGGACTGTGACCCTAATGCTCACCTGTTGCCAAAAGCTATTGATTTACTACCAAAGCATTTGTATTTAAATGATCATAAGTCTGTTGTGTGTTAGTGTGTGTGTGAAAGTAAAAACAAATGATATCTAAACCATGTGTCACCACAAGAACATTTTAAGAAGGTTTAAAAAAAAAAAAAAAAAAGAGTATCTCTCCTAGTAATACTGGCCAAGTAAGGAGGCTTGAGTTCCAGTCTTCTGTCACTGAATCACTGAGTGATCTTACACGCATCATTTAAATGCAATTGCCTAAGAGTCTTTTATACAGAGAAAATGGAGTCGAAATAATAATACAGTAATGATAGCGTGGGCTTTCCTGGCAGGAGTGCTTTGAAAAGTAGTTGGTATTTGGCAAGTTTATTTTGCATTTAACCTGCTGAATAAAAAGCATAAGGTACGATTATGCTCATTCTATTAATGACCAAATAAACGACCCACGAGGGAAACATCATACTTTTATGTAAATATATCTTCCTCAGGAGCCTGTCAATAACCTGAACAACGTACATCTCAGAGACCCACACGCAGCCAGGAAAGACTGCGCTGTGAGCGTCTGCGAGTGTTTGGAAACTGTGCACATCTGAGCGTCTAATCTAGCTCAGGATCCTGGAGTCATGCAGGAGAAGCTATGTTAGCTCAAGAACAAGGTGGGGGGTAGGGGGGAGGCGAAGGATCCAGGAAGAAAGAAAGAACAGTGCTCCATAGATACAGTGTGCAGCGTGCAGAAAATACGGTCTTCCCAAAACACTACAATATTCGCTTCAATTGTCTGCTGTTCCTACCATTCTTGTCAAGAAGAACTGTTCGCATTATGTTCTCAACAATGTGTTGTCTTCTGCCTTCTGGTACGTTTAGTGAACAGGCAGCCAAACAGAGCCCCACTCCGGAGGAAGACATGATCTTTTTAGAATAGGAGAAAAATGATTCTTTATTTCAGTCTCTAGAGTATTCATATTCATATTTTCATGTTTTAACCATAAAAATCATAACTCTTCGGAAACGTAGCAGTCATAATACGGACACTTCATTATTTCATTCCTAGAGACTAGCCCTTAAAGGATAAATAAACTCCTCATTACCCAAACAGGAAACCACGTGTGCTGGTCATGCACATATGAACATATGAACATAGTGACAACACTGGAAAATACCTGGCAGGTTACTCAGTCTGAATTCTGCTGGGTAAGTGAAACTTTTTCAATAAAGTATGTTAGCCCATTTTAAGCACGGTCTTCATTAGCTTACCAGTTTTCGGGGTCTGCACTATTTAACAAGTAGGCATAATTATTTTTGTCAAACTAGACTTATTGGAGAAAAACAGAAGAGGGAAATGAGGGACATTATTTAATTTGCTAATTCTTTTTTTTTTAAAGCTATTTTTGTGCAAAAAAAGACAAAGTATCTCTACAGACTAGGCCACAGACATTACACAATCAAACAGAAGAAATACATTTGGGTGCTTTAAATGACAACTGTTTGACTAAGTTCCTCCTTGTACTTTGATCTCCAAGTTTCTATATCAGCTTAAAATCTTTTACAGGACTCTGTGCCTTGAACTGAAATATGACACAAACTCTGATATATGTTACCCTAGTGGCAAAAATGTGACTGATTCTTTTGTTGAAAATGGAGAAATTATACAAGTTTCCAAGGTTGTTTGATTCTTCTTAGTGCGCTAGAATGGCAATTTTTAACTCATCTTTCCACACCTCAAATTATACAGGTATTTATGATCTAAATGAACTAAAATATCTTAAAATAATGAGAAGATCATTCCTCTTTTTGAGATCAGGACATCATCATTTGGCCTTTTTTAAATGTCATAAATAAAAATGAAAGTGCCCCTCAGGAATTCCTCCCACAAATATGCGCTGAGGGTCATTTTGTGCCAGGTAATGCTCTCCATGTGAGGAATACTGCAGTGAACCGTGTCTAACTCTGAGACACACTTTAAACTTCAGAGTTTAGGTTGAAAGTGTTCTGGTGCAAACGATAGTACTTGCATGAATAAACCCCAGGCTTCTGTTCAAGAGGATTGTTTGTGGCCTAATCATCTGAACCTAGAGGGGGTGCTCAAGGCTTGTTGCTAGCTCTCATTTGCAGGCAGGTTTTCTTACTGTGACCGTCCTCTCGTCCACAGAGATTCATAAAAATACGATTATTAGGTTTTTCTAGACATTAATAACATTGTTGTAGTAAAGCAGCCCGGACCTCTCATTTCTATGTAAACAAAAAATTGCTTTACACAAGGGGCGTGGGCGTCTTCTGGTTTTCATTTGTTTTCAGTGTGTTTATGTAGCTTAATTGTCTCATCAGGCACTTTCCCAACATAATTATGCCTTTTAACAAATGGTGTTTATGGCAACCCCTAACAGTGCAAAAGAAAGGATTAGTTTCATCCTCTCATTCCACATTTGATTCCCCGTGGACAGCTGAATCACACAAAGATGGTGCTGGAAAAATTCACCTTCACAGTCAAAGTGGGAATGGGCGGCAGGACCGGGCGTCTGGACAGCACTTTCCTCTAAGAAATCGACCCCAAGCGCAAGTCCCCAGAACACTCCGTGGTTTGGGACCCAGAGATGCTGGCCCGCCCCAGCCCACCCCTTCAACTTCAGTTACCGTTTGGTGACTTCGGGCGATCGACCCAAACCCTGCCTCCCCTCCCCCACCCCGGCGGAACGAGCCGGGCCCGGGCCACGTGCGGCAGTTTCCGTGCCTGCGGCGCACGACCCAAGGCCACTCTGGAGGCCGCACGGAGGCTCGCCAGGCGGCGGCCACGCGTCTCCGGCCA